CCATTCACAGAAAGTGCCAGAGACAAAAAAAACACTCAGCCATTCTCCACATGCTACTTCAACATAGGCCGCTGAAAACGGGTTTTTCTTTCGCTTTTGCTTTTGTGTTTTACCCATTCAAGGGGCTCCCTGGAACACATCCACACGGAAGAGACACACGACAGGCGATGCGCTGGCCTGGGTAAACGCCTCAATGGCATCGGCCCAGTGCTGCATATGGTACTGCACCAGTCCTGCTAGTTATCTTGGCTGCTGCAACGACCCCCCTGCAAAAAGTTTTTCACTTGTTGGGGTTTAGTGGAAAACACCCTTTATTTCAACCAAATTAGTTAAAGTCTAAAGATCCGTTGCCCAATAGCAATCAAGTAATATGCGGGTTTCCGTGGGACTGTGTGTCTCGCAACAAAACGCGCCGCGTCCCCCAAAATGTTCCCCTTGGTTTAACCACTCTAAACTAACCCCGGACATGGGTATGTGAAAGAGAAGGGGAATGGGTTCTGGGAAACTCGCAAGGTGCAGCATTCATGTCATTAGCTAGAAGCTGCTATGTAGGCTGACTGAAACAAATCGGCCAGGCTCGAGCCCTCGCTTTTTATGGCTTCGATCGATTCCTGTGGCTTTTGTTAAAGCATCAAAGCGTCGGACCATGCTGCTGACTAATATGCCCGCGCCACGTTTGTGGAAAACAGGAAATTTGGATTCCGGCATTGCCATCCTCCCCACTTGAACTCCGGACTTCCGGTGAAATATACCTATCACCGATTGATAGCAGCCCATATCAAAGCTGTGACGGCCAACAGATCTAGTTCACATCAAAGATCTGTTGAGGAGGGTATCACTTGATGGGAGGATGACCGCTCTTTAAGACTAGCAAGCAACATGTGCCGAGAGTTTCGAGTTGCTCAACCCATAGTTTGCCCATGACTATTTCCAACTGCGAAACATTTACTCCCAGTTGAGAGAACTTTGTACAGCTGAGGATGTTGAAGCGATCTCGATCCAACCCAAGTTGCCCTGGGACATTCCATGCTCGCCAACACGAATTCAATCTCCATAGAAGCACGCAGTGCGATCTCTCCAGCTCAAGCCCATCGCAATCCTTCCATCGCAAAGCATGCTACCCAGCCAATCAAACAAATGCTTGAGTCACAGCTTCATGCGTTGGCGAACCATGCAGGCTGCATGCAGGGCTTCCGCTACAATATCCCAAGCCTTTACCGGCTCGCACGACCCCGTGCAATGAATAGGACTCACCAGGATGCTGACTGAGTCAATCCCTGCCCCAAAAAACAGTTCCACTTGTTCTTTGCCTTCTTCCCAAAAGTTGCAAAACCCGTTTTGGGCCGCACGACTTATCGAAGCACCACTTATCGAAGCGCGTGGGCCATGGTCAAAACGAAAACTCAAACACATCCCGGCGTGGCTCCTTATGGACAAGCCTTCTGTTCAAAAGTATTCATCGTGCTCCTAGCCCACAATTGATGGGCATTTGATCAGTGCGCCCCCCATGGAATTCGGTCTGCAGCCCTGGGGTCGTAAAAACACATGGGGTATATTGACCATATGGACCAGCAACTGGCAGGAAAAACACACTTTTTACGCAGCCCTATGATCAAAAAACCAGGCAACCCCACGCCCACCCCCCCTGCTCCACCCAAGTTGCCGCCCCCCAACACCCTGGGTGAAAACCGGCCCGGCCAACCCGCCTACGTAGTAAAAATTTCGCCGGCACTTCTTGATGTTCAGCGCGCGGCTGAAAAAGACCAGGGCCTAGCGCCCCAAAAACGAAGTCGGTGGTCAAGAGGATTGCCCAGATTCTGAAATCTGGTGTTCTGTGGTTTTTGTGGGACTGAATGGGATTGACGTAGCCTAGGACAAGCAGGTACTGTAGTCATTGAAGAAGTCGATCAAGGCCGTGTAAGAAAGCGCAAGAGCGTCTGCTGCTACCCGCCCCATCTCCCAGGTTTTGGTTCCAGCCTCCACTAGACCCATGATTTCTACTTTCAATAGCCACTCCCAACTGAGACAGGGTATGCAGTTGAACCGCAGCCCATTTGCCCCAGAACCTCACGCGCATTGGGACTGAGTCTGATAGCCCCCAGGAAGGCCTCAAGGCGGGCAACTGAATATCTTATCACTGGAGCCAGGGAAGCCGGCTGGCCGAAGTTGCAAAACATAAGAACTAGAATTATATTTCCCTTGCTCTTTGACTCTTTGTCAATTTCTCTTTCTCTTCCTTCTCGTTCTCTTTCTCTTCTTTGGTCTTTTCTGTTCCCCTTTCTCTTCTTTATCTTTATCTTGCTCATTTTTTGACGTGTCCTTTTTTTTGTTATGAATCACGCTTCGCCTCCCGTTCGTTGTTGAATGCCTGTCTGTCACAAAAATGTTTCGGGCATATCATTTATCTTTCTCTGTCTCTTGTTGCGTCTCTTTCTCTTCTATCTATATCTATCTATCCATCTATCCATCTATCCATCTATCCATCTATCCATCTATCCATCTATCCATCTATCCATCTATCCATCTATCCATCTATCTATCTATCTATCTATCTATCTATCCATCTATATGTCAATGTCTGTCTATCCATCTATCTATCTATCTATCTATCCATCTATGCGTCTGTCTGTTTATCTATCTGTCTATCTATCTGCTGTACAGATTGCGTGGCAGGCGTGACAGGTTTCGTAGCAGGCGCAGCACTCTTCAGAAGGTCAGACTCTCGGAGCGCTGATTGTGCCACAGATATACATACTATGTTTATACATATGTTGAGATACAGAGATAGCTGATAGCTTGGTCGAGATGGATGGACAGTGGTCGAACAAGATAGATAGATCACCGAGATCCCAAGTGAGATGCCAAACCCAAAATCTCCATTAGCTCAAGTCCCCTGGACAAAAACATATATTTCCAGTAGTGAAATCGATTCCCTTTAAAACCAACAGGGGAAAATGATGATAATAATAAGATAATAATAATAACATACCAAAAACCAAAAACAAAAACATCTTAAGCTAACAATGGAAGCAACACCTCAGGTTCGCTGGCCCTGGCCTCATCCAGGCTCCGGATTGGCCAGGGCGCGGCCAGAAAGAAAGTCCCCTCAAAGACGAAGCCCAAACCGCCTGAGGCCGGGGCCCCTGGGCGATGGACAGATGGAACATCCGAAGCCCTTTCAGAAATGCAGGAAAACCATAGGGGGGAGTGGAAAACAATTTCACGTCAGGAAAACCATGGAAGACAAATGGACTAAAAGGGACACATGTCTCAACCGAAAGTTGTGTCAGGTTTCATGGGCGCCGCCCTTGGCTCACGGAGGGCAAAAGCCTTTTCCTGAGGCCATTTCTCTGGGTCGACCCAATCTGTTCGCTAGTGGCATGCAATAACTTTCCTACCCTGTTCGAGGCCTGAAATTTACGGAATTGGATTTTCGCATGTGACCCATTTCCTAGCCAAACCATGTCCAACCCAGGTTGAACTGACATAAATCAAATCTCAGCAGAAAAACCCGCACAGATCCAAAATTACAGGCAGAGCTGGAGACTGGCAACCCGACGTGGTCAACTTCCAACTACGTCGAGTCAGTTGAGTCGCGAGCTCTTGAGATTTCAGTGCGACAAGGTCAGAAAACATGCACCATGTCCCGGATTAGATTCCCCCTCTCGTGAATGCCGCACTGTACTCATGAAAAGACGGCTTCAAGTCAATACAGAAAATCGTGCACGTCAAGGGGAACCTTGAGCAACCTCTTCCAAAGATCTCAAGGACGGCCGTCTGCATCCGGCTGAAGAATTCCGAATGAACTCGTGGAAGAACAAACAGCTGGACAACACAAGGGCCTGCCTCTTTTTGGAGTTGGTATCGTGTCCCAAAAGGAACTGTCTCTGGGTAGCCCTGGAGTAGCAGATGCGTGGTATGCCTATCCTTGCGTACATTGGTGCACTTGTGTGTTGTCATGTAATGTATATTAACTAATATTTGTATAGCTTATGGTACATACAACTTTACATGCCATATCAGGAACGCCTATCCCGGCGCTGCCGGGCGAAGCCGTCCGAAGGCCCAATGTGTCGTCTCCGGCCTTCCTCTTCTGGCCCCACTTGCTGCATGCGCCGCGCGTTCTTCCGGAACTCCTCATGCATCTGGCAAATGGAACAGACTGCCAGACGAGTGAGTCGAGCAAGCCTCGAAAAACCCAACTCAAACAAAAAAGAAGCACCAGCACCTGGCCTCCACTCAAGGATGAGGCCCAAAGTCAGGACGGATGCCTGCTAAGTCAATATCAACTTCTATTCTGGCTATGCTCTGGTAAACCAGAGTCTTGGGTGTTTTGGGCCGACTTCTTCCAAACGTCCTGTTTCTTTGCTGGTTGCTGCCAGCATCACATTTCACCTTGAACGCAGGACTTCCAAGCATTTTGTCCAAGCCAACGGCTTTTCGGAGCCACGGGTTGCGGAATCCTTGGGCTGAGCAAAAGGCCGAGAGCCTTCGGAAGTGTAGCTCCGTTTCCGCGGGGGGCCCACTGAGCCGAGCCACGGGGGATCCAAGACCACTTGCCCAGGAGAGGTCCCGAGCTTGGATGCTGACCCCTCTGCAAGCTGTTCACTTTTTGAGGGTCCAGTTGAAAAATCCGCTGAAAAAGTGAAAGCCCAAAGATGCACCATTTCCTTCCAGAACTCCTGGTAGCTCCAAAACGCTCCCTGAAAAACCCCCAGCTCCACACCAGCTCCAACCACGTGACAGCCCTCTAGGTCCTCCAGTAGTTAGAATAAGGGTACCCTTTTTTCTGCAGTCTATTTTAGTAGGGGAACCCTCCCCCAAAAAAGGGTAAAAGGGCACTACTGGGGGCCCTAAAGCCGGTGCAAACCTCTCGCATCGGTCCTTGCCGGAGCCCCGGATCGCCTGCGGCAACGGACCATGCACTGAGGTCCTGAGCGAGGGACGTGAGGGAAAGGCGAATCTCAGCCAATGGAAACTCGAATGCTTTCTGCTCCCGTGCTAAAAGTGAATACCTTTTCGTGGTTTAATACGGAAAAACTATGAGTTGGCAAACAGTTAAAGTCCTAACATCCCTTGGCAAAATGTACCAAAGGTGTTTCTCAATATTATATAATATTGGGGACCGATGCCTGCAGGCTTCTTTTTGGCTTCCTTTTGGAACCATCTAAAAAGGATGTAGAGACACACCCGTGTTGTCAAAATAGGATTTCTTTAACAGCCGACATTCTCTCGGCCTATTCATGGTTGGGAGCGATATGCCCACATGAGGTGTCTAAAAAAATGAAGATATGAACAAATACAAGATGGCAAAAGCTGCGCTTGTCCAAAAAAGGTTTGGGTTGGGGTCATCCCCAACAAGCACTAACAGCAGGGTCTAACACCTTCCAGTAGGCTGCGTGTCCCGCATTTCAGGAAATTCAAGTAGGCACAGCCTTCTTAGCTTTGATTTTGGACGAGTTCATCAATAGGAAAGAAGCATCACAAGCAAAAACAACGAGCGTGGGTATGCTTTTGACAAAATCCCCGTCAATGGCTGGAGGTTTGATTCTCTGCAGGCAGGCCCCCTTGTAACTAACCGTTGAGATCTCAACAGGGTTGAGGAGCTCCGTTTTGGTATCCAAAGGTAAACACAAGGACACCAACCACTTTAGGGCACGGCTACCTTGAGCCCCTCATGGCCTTAAGGGCCATTTGGGACCATTGCGGGGCGGACGGGAAGAGATAGTCGGAATCCTAAGCACAAACTCGCCACACCTGCAGGTGCTTCATAGGATTAAGGATGGTGCTTCATTCGAGGTGGCACATCCTTCAACACCTGAGGGACACTTGCAAACAAACTCGCCACTGCCCGCGGACGGAGAAAAAGGGACACCCTTTCTTCTTAACTGGCAGCATTCTGTATGGCGCTGACATGCATGTGTCCTTAATCTGCAATCTTGTGGACTTTGCCATCGCGAGAGGACGCAATTCCGACATACACGAATGATTGTTTCTGAAGATGTAGCATCTGGCAAAAGTAAAACATTGTCCTCAATCAGCTGAGCAACACAGTTTGAATCTCCTTCTTTGAATCAGCTCAGCGAAAAACCGCAAGGAAACGAACCGAACTCTCCCGGGGTGGCCCATGTAGGAAACATCCAAATCTGCCGGGGCTCATGTACTGAAAGGCGTCTGCGTAGACACTTGCCGCACGGGGGCTTCTTGGCCTTAGCTTGAAGCATGGGCCTAGCTGAAAAAAAAACAAGAAAAAACACAAGCGATGTTGCAATCCTCACCCATCTTCCACAAGCGTGCCTGCGCGGTGGTTCCACCTGCCTCACTTCGCATTACTTCAACCAGACAATCTTTCCTCATACCGTGACTCATACCTAAAAGCCCAACTTTTACATAGCCAGGAAATGGGTGACTTTCCGAGCAAGAAACGCCCTGGGTTGAGCTTCATTCCGTCCGAAGACTGGGAGTCAGGCAGAGTCGACTCCAGAAACCATCAACGTACCATCGACCAGCATCCAAATCTGAAGCAATCCAACCACCAAAGCCCAGGCCTTACAGTAGGTGCCCCTGCCCATGCATGGTCCGTACCTGAAGTGCAACCGGCCATATTCACAGCGCCTGAAAGGAATGTCAAAACTGGACAAGACCCGCAGCCATGGACAAAACCCTATGCTACTCATGCTGGGGTTGACCGCTTTCTTGTTGAAGCGCACCCCCAACCCCTCAAACCCCCAACCCCCATAGCCCCCCCCCCTCCAAACCCTCCAACCCCTCCAAACCCCTCCAAACGCTCCAAACCCTCCCAACCCCTCCAACCCCCTCCCAACCCCAAACCCGCAACCCCCCCCTTCCCCCCAAACTTTTCCAGCCACTGGATCCAGGGTGCCAGTACTTCAGGGCGAAGTGCGCGTGCTCCCACGCCTCAGGGCCCAGCTCCTTCCACACGCGGATCTTCTCGGGCGTCTCCTCAGCCAACCGCTTTTGCCTAGCCCGTTTTTCCCGTTTTTGGGGAGGAGGGGTTAGGGGAGGTCGATACCTGCAAGGCCGTGGGCGGCCGATATTTGTGGTTGATGCTTGTTTTTCTTTGGGGGGGGGGCACCCAGAAAACGAAAGGGAGAAAGGAAACCGATGCCCATTGTGACTCAACCATCTATAGAAGGGATTGTGCTTCTTTTCCTCCCAACCTGTCTGCCCAGTTTGTCTCAGCCAGCTTTGCCGTTGGGGGGATATACCTTATGTTTTTTAGGGATACCGATGTGTCGATTGAGCTGTATCGACCTCCCCTTCCACCAATAAATGACTGGGTCGGTGCCCCCCAAAACCAGGGGGGGTTGTTTTTGCACCCCCCCTCAGAACAGAAAAGGGGGGGTTGTTGTTTTGTTTTCCGCAAAAACAAGCCAGTCGGTGCTATTTTAGAGCAAAGCAACAGGAAACCACTTGTTTTGGGGTTGGTGACGGCCTCTGAAGTCGATTCACCCGTCTGGTGTGACATATCATCCAACA